TCCTCCCGGATTTGAAGTTTGCAAGTTTGGAGTTTCCAAATTTTCTTAACATTTTGCGTTAAATACTTGCATGCTGGGGCGGAACGCCTATCATATAAAATAGCCCAGGATTTGGGCCCAAATATGATTTGAATTGTTGTTTTAGCAATATACCTGCTATATTATTTAAATACTCTCAAAAAGGATATTTTTGTCCTTTATTTTAGTAATACTTTAATATACTGGATTAATTATACAGGCGGTTTTGAAACATTTCTAGTTCGTCTTATTCTTATTACTTGTAATTTGTCAATCCTCATTATTAGAATTTGCAGGAGGTTATGTCATATTCCAAGAGCTAGTCGATGACACTCAATATTGAATATAACAAGACCTTCTCTGTGAGCCCCTAAGTTGGGGAAGGAAGAAGTATGTTGGCATATATTGCCTGGCCAGGGCGATGGATGGTAGCCGAAGAGACGCTTGTGTCGGTCCATAGGAAGTTTGGATCTTCCGGTTGGTGGAACCTGGTTATAAGTCAACTAAGGCGGCCAGTGCATAATGCCTACAACTAAATACTTTTTAATGGTTAATCATGAAAACAAATTTGACTGATCAAATACCTTTGGAGTCATTAAGGTTGAATCTATGCCAGACAGGAACAGCCCTTTAATAAATAGCCATAATAATGATACATAGCAATGTCTATACGCTACTATAGTGATAAAAGGCGTTTGTTTCCAAGGCTCACTAATCGAAACTAACCACGATAATAGTAAGGCTTTAATTAACTAAGTAACTTGTTATGTTCTATATCTGATTTTTTTCTCTCACCTTCGGTTTGAAAAAATGATGCGAACGTTTTCTTTTGGCAACAGCAAACGTCAAAGGTGGCTCTGCGCGATGTTGGCAAGGTGATCAAGGCGTTAGTCGGTGACTTCTACCACCCACTGTATTTAAGCAAAGAATTTCAGGCGAAGATTACACCAGAAAAAAAATCGGAATTGACAGGTGCACATGCTATTATTTAATATTTTATTTTTCCCTTGGCTTCTATACACTGGTCATTTAATATTAAATACTTCATTTGGTAACTAGGACGTATGGAATTTAATTTTGAGCTTAGGTGCTGGGTAGTTTTAGAAGGTATTTACTTTAGGAGCAAGCATCTAAATGAAATATTTATGTCTAAATTGTTTCCTGCAATTATTTTAGAAAATATCTTGTTTTTATAGTTTAGCGAGTTATGTAGACCCAAGGTAATTTTAATTTTTGATTCTCGTATAGACCTCTATGTTTTTTTCATTTGGGACACTATTATTTTGATACATATTTGATTGCACATATTACAACACTCAATTACTTTTGCCAGCTTACTACTGTTTTCGAAGGTAATATGCTTGATAGTTGTCCCTATTTTTACATGCACATATGGGATATATATTAGCATTTAGGATCGTCTCCCTTTCTGGCGCCAGATTCGCTACATTAAAAACATTTAAAGTGTTTTACTCTTTAAATAGAGAGAAAGAATTTTGATAGTTTTATTTGAAAGTGTATAGACTAAGATAAAGCTAAATTACAAGATCAACGATATGCAGTAACTTTCTTCTATTAAGTAAATATTATTAAGGAAATACTATACAAGGTTTAAGTGAAGAAGCTTAAATCTCTAAATAATTAACAATTTACTCAACCATAAGAGAACTTGCATAGATTCAGCAATAACGTAGTAAGGTGGGAGGCATAAGTTAAGTTATAGGGGAAGCACTACAAAGTAAACCAGGAGATACTAGGAAAACAAATTTTTTATTTATCGCGAGTGGTGATCTCATGGTAATCTCAGCCACACTCTAATTTCATAAGCCCTTTATCAACAGTCTCAGAGAGGATATGTGAATTCGAAAGAGAAATCAGTGCCTAATCCTGCCTGGTGGCACTTAGCTATTTAATAATCCTCGTTACTCAGTTGCTTGCTTCTTGGTTTACTTAACTTGAGGTCAATTCACGTTTCTGGCCTTGACTTACTCGATATCCTTCTTATTCTCCATGGTTACGCTGTAGGTGCTTTGCATACAATTACTCTTTGTTTCTGCTAAAAAGTATTGTTAACACTTTTTGAGTCAGGCTATCTTGGGACAATAAGCTTAGATTTACTACTGAAGGGTTTATTTTCTCACTAATATATTGCCTAATGCCCACAATGCCTTTTTTTTCTGCTTAAGCTAGACTTTTTAAGAACTAATAAATACTGCTACAATGGCAGACGGCTGTGTATACAGTCTCCCGACATCCTCTGTATTTAAATTAGTCTTATAAAATAAAGCATATAGCAATAAAGAAGTTGAGCATAAAAAAGATACAATAGAAAATTAGCAGATATGATCCATTATCCCTTGAGAGATTTTTCCTCAAGGCATTTCATTTTCCGGATAGTTGATTTCTAAGGCCCATGTGGTTAATTATAACCTACAAAGCTCATCGAGTTCTCTTTGCCTTAAGGCTGATTAAAGTAGCAATATTTTAAGGTGCCTAAAACTTTGTACTCATCACATGAATCTTCGTACATTGCTTAATAGTTAAAGCGTAAGGGCAAAATTCAGGCGAATTTGCTGTAAAACACAGTCTTGCTAAGAAGAACGGCTTCCATATTAGATGGCTTTAATAGTACTCCAATTATCAAGTCATGTGCTTATTCACTTTACTCTTTAATTACTATGGCTATCGAGGTTGGTCCCATGGATCTTTCGTGGCTTTAACCTTAACTTTGCTTTGGTCATTTATTATAGCATCAAATTATTCTCTCTTGATAGGTCAACTATACCTGTTTTTTATCATTTTCTCATTATACTTGTTGCTATAATGATGAATAATCTAGAAGGAGGATTTCAAGTGAGCTCTTTGCTTAAGAGGTTTCTTAATTTAAGTCAGGAATTGTATAGTTATCAAGTATTGACATCGGCAGAACAGATGGGTTTATGGCAAGACAGATCATTATAAATATGGCAGATGCTAGATTCAATGTCATTTCAATGCTTCAACAACGCAGAAAGACAGTTTGTAGGTGAAAAATAACCACGCAGCGTTCAAAGCCTTCAAGAAATTGTTGGCCCTTAAGTGTTTTTAATGAATTATCTTTACTCTTGCTTTAAAAATAATATATTCATTCCATTTTTACATGTTCGCAGAGGCCCATGTTATACACACATACACACACACACAATATATATATATGTATATATGTCTATGTCTGTATACATATGAACCGATCTTCGTATAATATGAATGTAAAATGTTAAATAGTTACTCCGACTTTTAAGTTCGATAAATTAATTCTGAAAGTAATTGTAGGAAATATACTAATGTTTACCAAACATTGAGGGATTTACAACGTGTCTATTGACATTCAGCTTATCAAGACAATTAAACACGACGCATTTCTGAAGTCTCATCAACCATTTCTTTTACTTAAAAGACTTGATGCTAAGTTCAGAAAAGTTTTTCGACCGTTCTGATTCATTTCTTGCATAATTTCTTGAAGAAGAGCAGAAACTTTGTTGAAACTGCTTATTTCAGGCATATTCCTCATCAATGTCAGCGTTCTTTTTCCAGCGCTGTCTAAATTTCGCATTCCAATCTATTAATATTTTTATTTCTACATTAATAACTTGTATATTGTTGAAAAAAGGGGCATTGCTTGCTTTCTTTGCAAGAAAATTTCACCATTGGCCAAATATTTCAGAGTTCGGAGGATGGCCAATTCAAATCGTAATGTATTTGAGGTCGTTACTTCGAAGAAGGACACATTTTTGCAAAATTTCATGTAGAAGGAGCACATTCATGGTAGCTATACTAACAAGCTTTTGTCATACGTGTTTCAATTACCCTTGGTAGTATATGCTGAACTAGGAAGTGAAATGAGCAGGCCCTATGATCCAATTCACTTTCACTCAGCCACCGGATCACAAAATCTTTCCCGTCCAGAGTTGAATGCGATTGAAAACTCGCCTTGATCTCATCCATGCCTTAACTATATTTGAAACTAAGTCGTGTTCATTAAGTGGCAACAATATTATTCTTCCAGATTCAAGAGTGCTAGCGGCAAGCAGCGAAGACAAACCAGACCTTTCTAAAATCACATTCTTATACTTACATCATCGAAGAGGCAAACTTGCATTAATCATTGCATCGACGATCTTACTAATATTCCTAGTGAGGATGTTCCGAGGCTATTATTAAACTTTGAAGGACAACTCCGAATTTGATGCGAAATGAATCAATCTAGTGCATCAAATAGCTAAATATGAGTCCTAAATAGATTCATCTTGTAATTAAAATGAAACCTTCCTCAGACCTACAACATTTGGATTATACATACTCGGGCATAACTTTTGATGCATTGCACACGTGCTAGCAGCCACCAGATGGGCACAAATACTCGTTGATTTGATAATAATATAACATGCTTCTTGTATTTAGCTAGAATTGAGATCGACTGTGCTGTTGCTCAGGCCATTACATATTTTGCGCCCATTAATCATTTATCTCTTCCTTTCTAGCAGATACTCTTGCATCGTAGCATCTTGGAATGCAAGATAATTTTCCAGCCATTTTCTATTTCGTCGGTAGTAACAAGATACAGAGAAGACACATTTTTCTAGAGACTGATGTTTTATAACCTCGGCTACAGTATTCGAACTCAAGTTAATTAGCATTTTGAAATTTGAGCTTATTTATCTCTTTCTACTTGCTCCTTTCCGCTCGATGGTCTACTTTATAACGCCATTTTTTTCCACGCCTCCCTCCCATCCTACCTTTTAATATCTCTACTGGTATTCATTCATATATCCTTCTTCATATGGTCAACCGCAGAGGACATGCTGAGCTTTTACTACCATTTGTCTTAATCAAAGTAATTACACCAAGCTCGCATGAATATTACTCTATCTCAATCTGAACTCCCTTCCTTTTCCACCCATCCTTATACATTTATAAACGTTTATTTCTTTTTAACATTTGTAATGCTAAACAATCCCTTACGTGTAAGTCGAATGATTACTTGCATTATCTCTACTCCCTACCTGTCGCATCCATTCTACTGTGCTTATTATTGAACTAAAATGCAAAATCTCGCAATGTATAGGCTCAATCGACTCTCTCAACTTTCCCGGCAAAAAGACCAGCTCTGATTTGAGTAACTCTACAATCTTCGAGAACGCCATCAGTCCGAGAAGTCTGGGTCTTCATGGGGTTTCGTTTATCGACAATGTTGACGATTTTGAGCCCATATTGGCCTACGGCTACAATGGCATGGACATCGTACGAAAATTGTCCGTCACTGGTATGAGATTGCAATCTCGTCAAGTTGCCTCCTTTCTTGTCTTCAATGTATCTTTCGTCTAAACTGCCTCTTCCCCACGAGACACATGCCAACGCTGTGTCTCCCGTCTCGCTTCGCTATCCTGAAAAATGTACCACTTCTGGCAGTTTACCTTCATTCTTATTTGGGCTAGATTCTCCGGTCAAGTTTCACTATGAAGCCGAGTCACGTGAAGGTGTGAAAGTTACATATTTAGGCGCAATAATTATTTGATATGAGGTCATGCTTCTTGCCCATTCATAGGCATTTGTGATTAATGAAAGAAAATTGGCCATTCCAAGGCTCCATTGAGTCAGAATGAAGAGCTGTTCAGTTCAAAAGCATCTTTTCAGCTGACCAAACCATTTTTTCTTGAATCTTCACTGTTTTATAACATCATTTTCAATAGGACAATGCTCAATTAGGTATCATTGATTGCAATTTACCCATATTTTTTCAATGATTATGATCAATGCCTGCCGAAAAATATGTACATCACAACGTTTGCTGGTGAGGTTTTAAGCAACTGTACTCTCCTGCTACATGAGGTAAATAATTGAAAAACTTCAGGAGCCTCTCTGCAGATCGAAAGTCCTTTTTATTATTTCGAGAACGTTGCCACCCTAGGTTGTTAAGCTGACTTCAGGGCTGATAGTTGAGTTTCACAACAATAAGATGAGCAGTTCCTTCGATGGTCTCCAATTTCACTTAGACGCGTCTCTCAAAACACTATCCCTTCCGGAGTAAACTGAAGTTCTAATTCAAGAATTCCCAATAGCAAAAATGTTCGTGTTTTGTCTCATCATTCAAGCGGAAAAGGCCAAAGATTGTTCGAATCGTTTTAGCGATCCCGTTGACAATACGTAACTTGAGACGATAATCTGAGTCGCACTTATTTTACAGCACAGATAAACAACTGCTTTCCTGCCTGCAAATATTTTCCATTTTCGTCAGTCATGCGACACCGATATGGACCTAACGACGTAGATATTGAGGTTGACACTTGCAAGAATAATTTGTTCATATGTGTGGTTCTTGATGTCTATAGATTTCCCGTCCAACGTAATAGGCAGTGTGAAGCCAATTTGTGGGTATCTAATCAATGTTGCCCATCTTGCTTGTCTTCTTTCTCGTTAGTTGTTAATGGAGCAATATCAATGCATGACTTGATGAATAAAGCCAAATCACAAAATCTGTTGAACGCAGCCTTCATGATACAGGAACCTAAGAGACATTGAAATTACTTTAAATATGGTATGGCGTAACAATTCATCTTTGCACATCGCCTGCAGGCAAAGCTCATTATCGTCTATGCACATTCAAAGGCTGAGCTGTGGAGGAAGACGCAAGATGAGCACATCTTGGAGCAAGCAAT